CAAATGGTATTATACTGCATTTAATCAAATCAATCAATCCATCAATAAATTAATCAAATTTTAATTGTTTAGACCATATTTACAAATCACAATTTGTCTTATAGGGCTTAACAAGGTGTGACATCTTCTGTCCTTAACCCTCAACAAGAGTAAGTAAAAACTACCAAATAAAAAACATTAAATCTCAGAGAGCCACATGTGAGTGATCCCAGGACGAACAGAAGTGCAATAGATGTCGCATGTAACTGAACGTATAAACAAAACAGTATTTACAACATTGATTAGAAGAAACTGGTTGTAACATAATGGAGAAGTATGTTAGTGTTGAAGAATTTATACAGATATAAGAAAATGTCTGCTAGAGATGAAGGGAGCAGCAATGACAAATTAACTGAGGAGTTAATCACTCAAGTAGTGGTTCCCTTATTTGACTTGTTACAAAATGGTGTTAGTGCCCACTGTGAGGTTGAAACCAGTTCATCCAAGAAGAGTTTTTTTTAAATGTGTGAAAATGATTATTCAGTGATTGATGAGTAAAATAAACAGACATTAGAGAGTGGACTAAAATTATAAACTTGTGTGGCTGCTGCAGAGGTCCCGACCCTCATGTTGGACACCTCTGATCTACACTAATGCAATCCCAATGATTTGGTCCATCGCAACAATAAAGCCCGATCGTTAGGGTTAAACTAAATTCAAAACAAAAGATTGCCCTGTAATCAGGGATGAGCAAAGATTGGGGTATTTATGAAATGTCTTTTAACTTGATTATTTATTTATTTGAAAACTTCAATTTAAAGTATTTTTAGTTCAATGAAACCACCCATGGTGGTCAGTAATCACGGGCCATATTTTCCTGATTTGAATTTCCCTCATTAGCTGAAAACCTGAGCATCTTAGACATTGGCGACAATACACGTTTTATTCTTACTCACTCCTTGTAAAGCTCTACCCAACATATACCTATAGAGACCATCTCAACAAAACCCTGCCTCCCCTCCCCTCTGCTATGGTCCTGCACCCTTTAATTAAAATGGGAACAACAGTCAGGGTGCAGCCAGCCTCACAGTCAGCCGGATATGAGGAGGAGCAAGCGAACCCCCCAACCCTAGGCTTAGATGTATCAGTTACTGTAATTGCAGCACCCTTGGGAGTAAGCAGCCTGGGGACAAAGCCGTCTGAGGTCAAGTGGGGGGTTGCCAAGGAGGGTGGTGGTGGCTGAAGTGTGGGGAAAGGGCCGGGAAGGGGGCCTCAGCACTAGCAACACTGTGTCTCCTGAAACCTAATAGAGAGATGCTCGACACAAACAAGACCCACCGGGCCTGCCGGGCTAACCTCCCTTCCCCTTGGAAACCGTAATCTCTTTCCTTTTTCTTTTATCCATTGACGTGAGAGCTCAAGTGGACTATTGTACTTTTCTTTCAGGTACAAGCCAGCAATCGACCCCTTGGCCCCTTACCTGTGGTGAGGTTTCCATAGCCTAGGGCAGAGAGTCTTCTCATATGGTTGTTCAAGAAGTGCTCGGCCTCTGACATCACACCGTTGCACCACAGGAGGAGATTTGTAAAGACTGCGTGGATTACACCGAACCTGAGGAAGCAAAGAGTTGCAAACAAGGTTGATGGCATTTGGCAGTATTATGATAACATTAGTCTGTTTGTTTGTGGATGTAGATTTCATATTTTGCAAATTATTTTTTGTTACTCGTCTAACATTTCATGACTCTGATAACATTGTTGATTTATTTAAAATGTTGTTTGAGTAAAATTCCGACATAATTTCACATACCTCTCAAATGTTTCAAAGCTCTTGATGACGTCCTTGATGTGAAACCAAAGAAAATGCACCTGAACACCAAAACAAGACACAGAACTTAAATATAAAAGGCAAAACCAAACATTACCCAAACTATAAATCGTTTAACTACAACTAAACACGTTTTATAACAGCAAAACCAACTTGGTTAAGTATTTAAGTCCCTTTACCAGCAGGATTTCTCTTGTCATATGCAGTACACTCACTTGATAACAGGGACAATGACAGGACTATATTGTTGCAGCAGCCCTGTCCTCTCCTCAGCAACAAAGAGCACATTATCCACAGACCTACCTGGTTAAGCGGTGCGCAGACAAAAAAAGACACAGTGTCCAACACTGCTGAAAGATTATCACCATATTGAAATGAAAGTGGGGCTGTAAACTTGCCTGTGCTATGGTGTGAGTTGCATGGATGACAGGATATACCCCGAGCACAGCAGACACACAAGACTGGTAGCCAACATAATACCCGATTCGGAAAGCGTCCATAATGAGTGAGAGGAGCGCAAGTAGAGTCAAGCCACCTACCGAGAGAAAAAAAGATGTAGCGATCAAGTTATTATTATGACTGATGACAAAACCAACATTTATAGAGAAAATGTGTCACAATCACTCGAGAATTGTTGGACTCATGAACACTAAAATACTCCTCTGTAATCTCCACACACACAGACAGTACAATTATTTTTGCCATTTTACGCATTTACTGCTGAGACACCGTGCGTAATGGCACAACCTCACCTCTTATCCAGCATGTGGTGGCGTGCACGTCTTTCTCGGTCCGCGTGTTCTTCTGTCTGTCCCGCACCAGGATGTACCACATCATCCAGATCAGCTGAAGGCTCATGAGGCAGGTGACGAAGGACAGAAAGTGCTCTTCCTTGACGAAGGGGTCATGGTGCGCGATCGCCAGCATCAGCGCGGCCCCGATCAGCAGCAGATTGGTCCCGTACTGACCGCTGAGGATCTCCGCGTTCTTCCTCGGGTAGTCCCCAGACAAGCTGAGTTTTAATTTGGCGAAAGTCTTCTTGTCCTGATCGGAGCTGGAGGACGAGGAGGAACTATGGCAGTACTTGTTCAGACACATAATATCCAGGCCGCTGTGTTCCACCATGGTGGGAGACGTAGAAAAATCGCAGAACCGAGAGAAGAGGAGAGTCAAAGCGGCGCGCTATAAGTGCATCTGAGGTGCGTAACCTGTTGCTCCAAGGTGGGGATTCAGACGGACAGGTACTGTGCCAAACATGTTCATTCAATCTTCCAGGTTCGGATCAGTGGCCATGCATAGTTTCAGTGTCCGGCCTCGCCGAGGATGGACTTGATAGATGCCATTGTCACCTTGAAACCCTGAAACTGAAATATGTTGTCGTGCGCCTCGCTGAGTCACTGAAAATGGGAGATTGCGTTTCAGTTCTTGGTGATCTCAGACCCCCGTCCTCCTGAAACCCCCATATGTTTCAGAGAAACCATTGGCTCGCCGTGCCAACCATTCACCGCATAAAGCAGCAAAAACACCAAGCACGGAATTATCCACAATAACAGAAAAAACCGATATGCGCCTGAATCCACCTTTTTAGAGCAGCTGCCAGCGCGTCTTTCCAAGTCTACTGAAATCCTCTCGGGGTGGCTATCGGATGTTAAAGTCTAGATCAAAAAAGAGGATGACATTTCACAAACCTGCGATTTCTGCAGGCTGGAGGGAAGTGACCTGTCCTGACTCAGAGCGCTTCAAATCCAAGTGCCACCTCCTCAAATCCTCATGTCCACTTGTGGTGGAGACATGGTTAAAAACGTTAAATCAGATTTCAATGGTCAAATTCACAATGGCTTCTTGTGAGGAGATGTACGTCAATAAATAGCCAGGGACGGATGAACACAATCAGCATGTGAAAGTCTGCTGACATAGACACGTCATCAGTGTGATGTGGATTGTTATTGGAGGGCTTGTATACACGTCCTTCATAGATAAACAGGCCTGTGATTGGTTTCAATTACAAAAAAATATATTATAAAGCACAACACATGAATGAAATTGATAGGCTCACATGCATTGTGATGGCTTCACAATAGTTCCTATCATGTCGCGGGACTCTTCTCAGTCCCTCCCAGTCCTCAGGGCTGAGGCTGCCTGTCCAGCAGCTTTTTAAGAAGTGGAGCAAGTTGGTGGAAAAGGGATAACAGTCATCAAGAGGGTTTTTGGTGCTTAATTAAAGCAAACCAATCTGTTAACTTTAATGTGAGCAACACTTGTGTCTATCAATGCCAATTTCCTGAGTATTATATCTTATATTAGTGCATATTATTATCTATTTCACAATAAACTACCGCATACATCTATGGAAAAAAAGATACCACTTCAGATTTCACTTAAATCATCATCAATATGTGTGGCAGCCAATTGCTTGCAGTGTCTGTTGAATTTGATAAAAGAGCTTTATAGTTTAAAGAATAGACCGACATTTCACTTTCCCTATAAATAGCAAAATGTATCATCTTGAAGTGTTCTCTTGAGTTGTCAATTCGATAAAAATCTGTTTAAAAACGATTCAACAGTGAACCTTTTATTTTGTATTTTCGGACTGAGGTTTTTTTTATTCAGAATAGTATAGGAGGTGTTGCAGACGGCCTTCAATCTGCGGTGCTCTGTGGATGACTGTGCGCCATTACGCACAGGAGCGTGTCCTCTGCTGGTGTTGCAGACGGACAGTTTGACACTACCGTGGTTTGTTCAGGCCATTCAACACAATCTGTTCTAATTGTTCAAACAAACAATTCAAACATCAACTCTGTTTATTTTCCTTCAGTAGCACGAGGAGGAAAAAACAGACACTAAACCTCCCCTGTACGAACCGTTGGCACAGCCTTGGAGTAAAAAAACAAACAAATCCCAGACTGTGAATAGGGGGCGAACCATTTGCCTGTTTATCATGTGTATCTCTCTACACCACCATCACGTGCACCGGATAATTGATCGAGTTATGTTCTTTAACAGCTCATCTCGACACCATCTGCCGCTGAGTATCGATGTCTTGATCACAGACAATCAGCGCGATAAAGAAAGTAGTCTAACATCTGCGTGTTCTCACAGAAGTTTAATGGGCGACTGATGAAGTCTTAACATTTTGATTAAAATGATTGATTGATTTGGAAGCATCCTCCCATCTCGCTGTTTGAGGAGCATCACCCCCCCCAGTAGACACTGATGGCAAATCATTGACACCCTGACTCACTGTATATGAGCTTTATTATCAACTGTAAAAACAAAAGCTGGAAAACTGTTTCCATTTCTTTTTAGTTTACAGAGGGAAATGTGTTTACTACACATTTCATTACATTGAACTAACAATATATATTTACTTTAAAGATTTTACCTAACTAATGATAACCCTATGAAAAATATTTTATATAAAATACTAGTCCATGCAGCTTCACTTTGATACATCTACATGTTTCAATGCTTGATGCATCACTGCTAACACTAATATGGAACATATAAAGGAAACACTGCAAGCTCTCATTCTGCATCACTGGTTTGGATCAGTACATTTTCTAAAATAATAAATCTGGACTTTTAAAGTCAGGACATCTACTTGTGTAAGTGTGTATTTTTATATGCATGTTATGTTTCACAGGAATATGAAAGGTTTATCCACAACTGGGATTAAATAAACCATATGTTGAACATCTATTATCAGATGAAAGTGGATGAACAACTGCTTAAAAATGATAAAACTACAAACATTGGCATCTGGCAGTGTTGTACAGCATTATAGGATTTTCACTGATATGTAAATAAACTGGAAGTTGATCCTCATTAAACGCAGGGTAGTAAAGGGTGAATTTGGGTAAAGTGGGAAATCCAGAATGTTTTTGTTTCTTGTTCTAGTAAAAATCTAATCAACAGGACTTTTACTGTAAGTTAGCATGAGCATCATGTGAGTGAAATCACATGACTTCACAGAAAGGGGTGGGGCCCCTGTTAATCAGAAACTCCCCCTTTGAATTGCATGACAAGGTCAGTAACATAGGATTCTGATAAGATGCATATTAGGATATAAATTTGTCATAAATTAGACAAAGTTCTTAATTGTTATCAAATTAGATTTGTGATGTACTGAGTTTGTTTAAAATTAAAACAGCTGTGCCTCTCTATCATGTATGATTGATAATGAGGGACAGCAGGCTTTGGGTAATCTGTCATTAGAGTTCTCTAAATGGGGGAAATGTGCTTTTATTCACTTCCTGAAATAGATGACATGCAGAAGGTGTCACCTGAGAAAAAGATGAACTAATGGTCAATTTTGAAAGTGACAAGACTGCGCTGGTCAACAAGAAAATGATCAGCTCATGGCCAAACTGAAGGCCATGCAAATTGAGATCCTGCAGAACAAGGGTGACTACCTACTTCAAATCAACACTCTGAAGAACCAGCTATTGAGTGAGAAAGATTTCTGAGTCAAAGAATCAAGAAGCTTGAGAGTCTGGTTGAAGCCACAGAGAAGTGGTTCAACTTGCAGACTTGCAAAAGAATGTTGAGCTCATGGAAAAACTGAAGACCATGCAGACTCAGATCCTTCAGAGTGAGACTGACTGGGACCTTAAAGTCAACACTCAGTAAAATCAGCTCAGGAGGATCAGATCAGGAGTGAGAAGGTGGAGAAAGAGACCTGCCTTTAAAAAAATCAAGGACCTGGTGAGTCTCATCATGGAGCAAGACTCCCAGATCCAAGCTCAGAAGATGGAGGAGGATATCAAGCTGCTCAACGTGAAGAATATTTAGCTTCAGGTAAGCTAACAACTTGTTGGATTGTGAGTTTGTTTCAGATTTAGACTTTGAGAGTGGAAATAATTAAACATGTGTCATCTCTGTCTTTTCAGAAGTTGGCCCTCAAGTCAGACAGCAACAAGGCCAGAAATAAGGATGAAAGAAAAGCACAGAAGGTGAAAGAAAAGAGGCAGAAGAATGAGCTGAAAGAGAAGAAGGAGCAGGAGGAGAAGAGAATGACATTTGGTCATTCAACCTCTCAACCTCCTTCACCCTTTTAACCCCCTTCACCTCTCCTATCCTTCCACTCCCTCAATCCAGTCTCCCATCCTCTCATCCCACCTCCCCTCTGCTCCCTTATTCACCCCCCTTCCCTCTTCCAAACCACAATTGTGTAAATTATTCTATATGTAATTATTAAAAAAACAAAAAAGTATGTATCACGTCTCGTTTCAATTCTTCTTCAAAACAGCCTGATGTTCATTTTGTAAATCAGACTAAGGTAGATGAGAAAACACAACATGCAATTGGGCATGGATATTGTGATTGAAAGCTAGTACCTTCCAGTGGGTGCAGGTCGCAGGTGCAGTGTCTTGCTCTCAGACCCACCCACGCTCACATCAACCCATTCTATTATTATATGGTATAATATATGTTTTAATATTGTAATATAGTTAAATATAACGAGAATATTCCTCCCAAAAAATGTGTAAATGTGAAGTGCATCTTGTTGACACTAACCCAAATGCAGGCGAAGGAACTTCGAGTTAAAGTGCTGAGAATTTTATAGGATTTCAAAATCAGCATTTGTGTTTCCAGGTGAATGAATTGACATTTAGTCACCGTTTCAATCGATTTAATGGATTTACCGTAAACATGCACAAAAATCAGATCCTGATCCTGACATTCCTTACTCTCATCCAGTGGACTCTCACTGACACTTTAAATGTTTCATTTGGACCATACTGCTGAGGTCTGGTCTGTGTGTTGCAGAGACTGACTCAAGGTTAAAATGTGTGTTTGTGTGTTGAGGATACAGTGTCATATGCGTGATCATCTGTCATATGCTCCTTTGTGTATATCTGTGTGCTTTTGCAAAGCAGGAGCTTGTCTCAAATAACATGTGGATAATTCAAACTACACTGTGTGTGTGTGTGTACCAGATGCTTGGTGGGTGTTTGATTCAGTTTCAATGAAAAGCAACAATTCATTTAAAATTTGTTAACTTAATATAACTTTATTAAAGACATAAACATTTTAACATCCAACATTTAACATACCTCACCACAAACTGCTTGATAAAAAATACAATATTTTATAACTTTTCACAGCTATAAATAGTCCAACACATTTTCTCCAATGCTCTCTCTCACACACACACACACACACACACACNCACACACACACACACACACACACACACACACACACACACACACACACACACACACACACACACAGTGTAGTTCAGGCATATATCACAGAAGACATGTTGACATGTCGCTGTTAAAAAAACTGGTGTAGTAAAATGAATTATGGTTAAATTCCATTTGGTTGTTTGAAGAGAGAGTGAGATTCAGTAAAATGGAAGTGAGGAGATATGGGGGAGTTGGCAACAGAAAATATCTGTAAGTAGTGGAGAAAAAGTATAAAACCACAACTCAGTATTGAGGTTAGCATTGTGTCGATCCTCGGCTGCAAAACAATAGAAAAGATTCTGAGTTGAGATTCACGAATGAAATTAAAGTTTTGATTTTATTCCATAAAGATATTCAACAATTTATGTCCAAATGCAATGTTGTCATTGAAAAGAGAACACACACAAAAAAAGTATTGTCCTCACCCTTCACATTCATCCAAGCAAAGAGATGAGCATGACCACACCCATGAACTGTGTGAAGAGGATGAGTGGCGTGAAGAAGGACCACACTGGCCACAGTGCTATGTTAAAGCTGAGAGAGAAGGACACATGTCACTTACAAATACACGCAAATACTGAAACACAAAAACGGCTGCTTCCTCCTACACTGTCATGTTTTACACATGATGCTGCAGTGATCCATAGCTTGTAATGTATCCACTTGATGAGAAAGCAAAAGTGATGGCTTCCTAACAGGCAGAATGAAGAAAAAGAATGTGGCAAGCTGTTAAATGACAGTGAATATTGGTGGTCCTTTCCATTAATATCTGGCTTGGACAGCTTGTTTGGGTGCTGTTGATGATGCCCCGCCTCACAATAAGATAAAAAAAGATGCAAGTAGCCACGAATTTGCACCAGGTGTCATGAACAGATAAATAATATGTGTATGCGATACAATTACATATCTGTTTGAGTTATTATTGAAAAGAAAGAAAATCTTGATGTTAGAGCATTTGAACAAGATTTTAGACAATAGTTTGTTACTTTAATGTTTCAACATAACAGCTTAAAGCCTGTCTGACACTGGATTTTGAGGAATATACCAATGTAACTATATTATGTCTCGTCATGACTATGTGATCTTGTTAAATTATCACATTCAAAAGGGAGATGTATATAATTCAATGTTAAGTGTGATGATAAACATCTGATGCTGATATTATTTGTTTGGTTTCAAATACAGCATCCTATAGTTCCCCTGGTATGAAATTGAAAGGATAAAAGAGTTTGTTCGAGTAATTTGCAGTTATGCTTTTTTGTTTGCGTTTTACCTGCATGATGCAGCTATAAATGCAGCGGTGGTGAGGGGAGGAATGGCAGGGTATTCTTGGTCATAGTGCTGGATGCCTTTGAACCACTCCAGGTATACGATGCAAAACATGGCCAGCGACAGGCAGATCCCAAGGAGTACCAGACCCACATAGAACCACCAGCTGGAAAAAATAGGGGTTAGAAAGAGGGAGAATATTATTGAAGATCTGAAGTTAATTAAAAAAAATTTAAAAAAGATGTTAACTTTGTTGTTTTACATGAGCATGTACCTTCCACAACAACAGACAATTAGGATCTCTGTGTGAAGATAATTTAGAGAAAATACAGAAACTAAAAATAAGGCACAGTTGGAAAGTGACCTCATACGTATGTAATATTTTGCTTAGCTGTGTGTGTATTATGTAGGGTACAGAGACATGTGAATGAAACCTTGGAGGGAGTTTCATCAGCTGTCTCCATAACTCAGTCACCTTTTGATATTATCGTTCTCCATGATGTTTTGGATGAAGTTGACGTAGTAGGTCACAGCCATAGATGCCACGATCCAGAAAACGGAATGTCTGTTAATGCGAGGAAGAGGTTTGGCATCTTTTTCCTCCGGACCTGAAAGATAATCGAAAACAACAATGTCATAAAATCTTCAAATGGGAGTTTCATACATGTGTCCACTTTGAGAGCACAATTCAATCCATGACAACTTTGAAAGTAGAAATGTAAGTAAAGATTATAGGAAATTGATTCATAGTTTATCACATTTAATTGGACCTCAATAATCCACGTGCACACAAATGTGAGACTAGTCTTACATTATTTTACCATTGATTAGATGAGTAATAAATATAGTTAGCACAGTAGTACCATGTAACAAAAACACACTACATTAAATTTTAAATAGTCAGTGAAAGAATTACAGTATAGCATACTATTTACTACCAACTGAGATTTGTCTTGCTTCAATAAAATGTGCCAAATCCCAACCATTCAAATTTCAGGAGCTTAAGAGGTGAATCTGATAGTTTTCCTGGAGATAATCTTACTCCTCCGAGAGCTATTAATCTCTATAATTTACTGGTTGATTAAACATATCAGAGCTTGTTGTTGGCTGATGAAGTGCTGCTCTGCTCTGCAGAGTTCACAGTGAACTCCATGCCTCCATGCCCCAGACAAATAGTTGACCTGCATCTTTAATCAAAGGTTTGCCTTGTGGTCCATCTTGTATACAAGATATACTACAGCAAGCCAGCTCACCTAAAAGACCACCGGAGGCATGTAAACTGGAATAATCGCAGACGTTGATATGAAAGGGATGACCACTCAACAAATGCTTGGTCTGTTGCTTGTATTACAGTGTTCGGTTTACACTGGCAAAGAGATGGTATTGGACTGGCGACAGCGTAGGAGTACAGTTTCCTTCTACCGTGTGGCTGGCCTGACACAGCGTTTGCTCCCAATCAAAAGAATCCAGAATTGTTGGGTATCTGCCAGTCGACGCCTCAGAGTTGGACAATTGTCCACTGTACCAGCTGCACACAAACCCCTTTTAGAATGAAAGTGTTGCAGTCGCACTGTCTGTTGTGTATTGGCTGCACTCAGCAGCCAGTTTATTAGATACACCACAATAAAACTAACGAAGGAGTCCAACAGTAAACAAAACTTTCAAATTGAAATGTCCATGGTTTGTTGAGACAGTTTTGTGTTGATGGTTATTTAGAAGGATGAAGTGTGATGCTCTTGATTCATGTTGTGTTATATTTTCATTATTGCGTCTAACTTTAACTTTCTAACTTTCTAAACCATTTAGTAACAATACAGTACTGGTATCTGGTACAGGCCAGATAACCACAACACTATAATGCAATCCAGTTCAACAGCAGCACTGTAAAACACGTCCAGCAGTTTCAACAACACATGTCATTCGTCATCACAGTGGGGTTCACTGCAGGTCTGCTGTATCAGGCTGCATTAGCTTTAGCTTGGTGTTCCTAATAAACTGACAGCTTAGTAAATCACTAGTGGCAGCTCGTTATGGTTCCGTGAAAAGAAAAGGTCACTATGTTTAAACCCCGTGGTGGTTGCACACTGGTCTTTCAACAGTTTGAGCCATGTGACTTTAGAATTGGTTTTCTGCTCAAGTTGGTCAGCAGGCTGTGTTTAGCATTTAGTCAGGATGTCAGCCCCCAAACCGGAAGTAAGTGACGTTTCCACTGTTTATAACGCTGTTTAAACTGTGACAGAAAACCCGGCTAATAACGTTAGCCACTACGTTTCTTACTCTTTTCATCTTGGTCACTCGCTGTCGTTGTTTGCATAAGAAACTCTGCATCTCTCTTGAATCTGTTCCGCAGCGTTGCCAGCTCACTGTCGTTCAGCATTATGTTGATGCTATCAGTTTACTAGCATTAGCTCTGAAAGCTAAGTGAAGATTGGAAGGCACTTCCTGTTAGATCCAGAGTCGCCTTTTTTATGACGCACCGGACAGCGACCGTGGTAGTTTTCGTTTTGTCTCGTGTATACAAACCATAGACTGTATATAAAGATACAAACGCTAATGTACTTAGAGAAAAACAATAACCCGTAGCTAAATAAACAAACATTGAATTTTTATCCAGATTAAACCAACAATAGGACATAATTACATTACAATGTAAAGGGCAGGTCACACAAAGCTTTAATTCACAGTATGTTTTAAATTATTTCAATTATTTCCAATCATTTGATGCAAATCTATCTTTGTTACCTGTGAGAATAACTAAATCAATCTGACCTGTCCATTATATTAACACAATGTTTAGTTTCCATATATTTACATTACATGTATGACTGCAAAACGTTGCTAAGAGTAGGATGTTCTTCAATATTAAACCATTATATTTTAAAATATCGCTTAAACAGGTAGAATTTATAAAGCACAAACTGTTTTTCAATTAAAGCTCGATGTTAGGTTGTATTTGTGTTTCCTTATTATGTGTAGTTTTGGAATCATTGGCATTTTTTAACATATACTGTATGTCAGATGATATATTGGTATCAGAAATGTTTTTTTCTCTAATGTTGGTATTGACATTTGCCCCAAAAATCCATATCAGTCAGGCTGCAACAGTGTGTTGTGTACTTCCTTCTCGAGAATCATCTTGATACCAACAGCAAACCAACACCAAACATAAGCTTAAAAGGGTAACTGAGGATATTTGCTAAAAAAAAACAGGACTGACTGAGTCTATTTGCTCTCATTCCTCATCATCTTAGCAGAATGCATAGTAGCTGGCTCCATTCCAAAGTTTATCTTGAAAGTCTACCTTTACACAGCGCTGGCAAGAATCTGACACTGCTGATACCTTTTTCCCATTTCACTCCCAATTAAAAACTTTCCAAGAAAAGACAAGATGTGTGCAGTAAAGAAAAGTGAATAATACCTAAAGTGGTTGATCCCCAGCAGCCAAACAGCTGACCACTTTTATGCCAGTTTATTAGGTACAAAACAAATGTAAAGTAATACAAATCCTTTAACAATGAAGGTCCAAGTCCTTTTTTTACACTGAGGTGTCATTGATTTAGGACTATTTGTTTATATCAATGTGGTAGACTAACCTTTCTGTATTCACCTGTAAGGAAACATGTCACTCTTGCTCCTCAAACAGGTGGAGGCCACTGAGTCATCAGTTACTCTTCACTCAGGGATGGGGTCTTGTTCCAGAGCAGATGCACTGTTACCTCACGCTCATCCATAGATGCCTGGTGCTTACGAGCAGAATGAATGGTCATTTGTATCATCAACAGATCAGAGCAGCACCCAGTATGTGTACTATCTGTACAATGCTGTCTGTTGTGTAAAGTCAACCGTGCGATGCTCTGTAACTATATGGATAATGTAGCTCCGTAATGTTAACACTTTTGATTAAATTCAAAGATTGTTCAATTCCACAAGTAGCAAGTACTGGTTACACAGATAAAACAATCAGAAGAAACAAGTAAATCTGTTTAGTTTCTTAATAATGTTTCTTTCAGATGCTGTAGTGTCTCTGCATTGTGTTTAATATCAATAGCAAGAAAAAGACTTTCCTCAAATAATTATGGCCATTAAGTTCAGTGTTCAAGGATCAGACTGACCCTTCATGAAAAAAGATAGTGGCCACAGTTCATCATGTCATGTTTATTGGCAGAAATGAGACGTGGAGTGATGTGGAGACCCAGATTTGTTTTGCGACAGTGAAGACAGGCTCAGTTTCAGTTTTTCTGTGGGGTCTGGATTAGTCCCACAACGGACTAGAAAACACCATTTTAATACTAGCAAACCTGAGTAACAGCTTGACTAATACCCAAGTATCTAATATACAATTACAGGTAAGCAGTGTGATGAATGAGCATCAGTGTTAAACCTGCTGGGATTAGCAGAGCTTCATAAAGCTGGGCAGATTTCCTCCTGTAGCTCCTCCCGTGTGTGTGTGTGTGTGTGTGTGTGTGTGTGTGTGTGTGTGTGTGTGTGTGTACAGGGGGTAAAGAGGCTGCTCATTCTAGTGGTGGAAAATCAGACAGCATTAAAACTTCACCTGAGGCTGACACCAAGCATCTTGCTTCTATGGAGCTTCTGTGTCCACAGCCAAGTGAACCCCGTTCGGGGTGCCGAGGAATGTGCATTAGCTTCGTCCCGTGTGAGAGTCAAATTCACCTCGGGTGCACCTCTCCTGTTTCCCTTCCCCCACTCCAACATCCAATCCCACAGATAAAGTGCCATTTCCCAGCCTTACTGTGGCCTTGGAATGTAGAAGAGAGTCATCGTCTATCACAATTGTCATTTTATACGTTAAACAACCCAGATGCGTTCTGGGATAGCTAGTAAAGCCGACCTGCTCCCCTGCAATCAGAAACAAGACACACATATCACTTATAAAATGGTTTAATCTTCAAGATTATGCCATCTGTATAAAAACATCCACAGGAGGATGACAGACAAGAAACTCTTTTAAATTTTAAAAGTCTATGAACAACATACATTTCATGCCAGAGGTGTGAGATACACAAGTCTAATTTATTAGTTTAACTCTGTCTTTCAAAACTCTAAACTTGGGATTGTTTTTGATCTTCTTGTTGAATATGGCTAGAACCTCCTCTTCAGTTCGAAAATTTCCATCAGCAGTGAACGAATAGTAGGCAGCCAAAATCTGTGAAATCCAGAAGAAAAAAAACAATCGCCTTAACATCATATCAAACAAAAGATTAGTTCAGAGGAACATGCAGGGTTTAGAAGTCAGATGGGATGCTGCGTAAACAAAGAATTACAAACAAAAATACTTCATGGGTGCATTCCAGTACTTCAGCAACTGCCATAATAAGAGCTGTTTAAATTCTCTAAAGGATAACCAAATGAGCTTCAATGCTTCCTAATTTATCTCCTTTCACAGGGTAAACACCAGACCATCCTTTATGAAAAAAAGGAGAAAATGCTTTGCAGCAGCAACATTATATTTACACCTGAAAACACCAGCATAAATAAAAAAAATTAAAAGCAGCGATCCAGAAGTGATGTGAATCGTCGCATGTTCCTGATTTCTTCTCTATCCCATCTGTCCAGTCAAGAATCCCATGAATAATGACCCGATTTAACGTATAGTTCACTATATCAGCATCAGTATTAAATATAACATTTATTTCAATCCCTTGAATGTGGAATGGACACTTTTTTTCTCCACTTATATAAGGTATTCTTCACACATGTACCTCAGAGCATTATATTGTTTCAACCTTTCAGTCCCTTTTGTTTTATTGTATCTATATATTTAATTTATTAGCCATTTTAATCAAATCTGTTTTGTGGTTAAGTTGCAATTTAAATATTCCCTCTGTATGAACCGAGAACTTATTATTTTCTTTTAAACAGGAAACCATATTATATATTATTATGCACAGCCTTCGACATGGACTACTGGATATTTTGTGCACATGTTCTGTTATAAATAAAGTTAAAGTTAAAAAAAATCAGGTATAACTGGAGTGGGATTTTCTCTGCACTCTGCACTACAGCTTCTTCACATCTTTCCTTGACCTTGTGGCGTATTCCATCAGGGGGCAAGGAATAGTGGTTAGGAAAGGAGATCACAATTCAATTCTCACCTTCTTCCTGAGTTTCTTCACTGGAAGTTCCTGGTCAGTCGAGTCTCTCAGCACAGCCTTGATATTCCCCTTCCAGTTGAATTTGCCTGTAAGATGATCAGAACAAGAAATTTGCTTCTAGCATGGAGAGTATTCACTGAGGGTAATTTTCTCAAAAAAAGAAACACTGACCCCTGGTGGCTTCACTGTTTAACGCCATCATGTATCTATAACAAGACATTGTTCAAAGACATGAACCAAACCATGTTACCTTTGGAAGCTGTTTGGTCCTCAGTGTCATCTGACACTATGTCAGCAGACTCTTCTGGTTCAACAACTGAGAAAGGGAAGGAAGAAAAGTTGTGCTGTAAGTGCATACTGAGATACTAAATCTACACTTTAAAAAATGAAGAGGAGGATTGTATGAAAATTATAAAGTTTGTTTAAATACATGATAAAAAGTGCAGAAGTTTTACACATGGTTAAAACGCTTAAAACTTTCATTCTTGGCCTACATTTGGAGGCTCAAACTTAATCTATACATCTGGTCTATGTTTACATTTCTAACAATATACAGCATTTGCTGAACAATACAATTAACAGATCATAAGTGAACCTTGACTGAGAATCTTCACAGACAACTTACTCTTTTTTTTCTTGTTGGATGTCTCATTTTCAGCATTGTGCCCGTTTTGCTCTTCATCTATATCCTCTTCGCTGCTGCGCTTTCTCTTTTTGTCCTTTTTCTTAATTTTGCCCGTCTGCTCTCCCTCTCCTTCTTGTGCGTCTGTTTTGTCTATGTTCTTTGCAGATTTCCCGTTCTTCTGCTGACGGGCCTCTTTACGCTCCCTTTTGTTGAGCTTCTTCTTCTTCTCATCACCTGGCGGTCCATTCTGCTCTTCATTCCCGTTAGTATGCACCTTGGCTTCAGGCACTGTCTGCTGGGGGACCTCTGGAGCCTGTTGGGTTGGGAATGAAAATCAACTTAGATGTTGAAAACATGGAATTTATTTTTTTCTATACATTGAAATAATTTATTACACCAAACAGCAGAAGGAAAACCACATACATGACTACATGTCTTTTGCTTGTCTAATGGCTTCAGGTCAAAACTATACCAAACACCTTTAAATGTTGTGAAGAGACTATGGCTCTCATGCTAATTATTTGTGGCAAAAATACACACGCATACATATATATATATATATATATATATATATATATATATATATATATATATATATATATATATATGTTTACAATGTATTTTAAAGACAATACTTACTTTTAAACTATTTGATCAGCAAACTAAACTAAACAACTAATACTAAGCTTTCACCTTACCTGCTCTATGCTGACAGAAAATAATATACACAAGGAATGAGCTATAGTAGAAACAAAAATAGTTAACTTAAAGCAGCTGAACTTACACTGTCGGCTGCAGCGAGGATGTTCCACACTTCATCATGAAGGCTGGTGTTGGTTATTTTAAGACTGTTTCTCATCCAGTTCTGAGGGAGAGACACAACATGAAAACAATGACGCAGCTGACAACCAGACAGTCTGCTCAATAAAGTAGGAAATGACTGTTACAGTTGGAAGAAACTCTTACCTGAAACTTGGCCTTCTTTCTTGGGACATTGTCGTACATGCTCACTTGTTTGAGCACGTCCTTCAGCTTCGCACTGACCCCGGGTTTGTCCATGGCCTCGTTGACTTTCTTCAGTCAAGAGACATTTCAAGTTAGATTTTAAAAGGCACAGACACAAACACAACTTTTATTATTTCATCACATTCTCTGCATCTCACCTGAATCCACTGCTGCTGCTTCACATCTCCTTTGTTTGCCTTTGCCTCGTAGCCTTTGCCTCCATACTTCTGATCCTCACTGATGCACTTCAGGTGGTTCTTGTAGTCATCGCCCCTGTTCACAGAGAAACAACACAGCACCGATGAAACTGCTTCTGTAACAATGGGAGTGGTGAGTAAACAGCAACAGGGGGGAAGACAGGAAACACTCGGTCGTTACCAGAAATCTTTTCCACAGTCGATGCAGGACAGGACCTGGCAGCCCCGGCACATGTTCACATGTTTATCAACCTGAGCTTTCTTCAGTGATTCACCGCATGCGTTGCAGGTGAAAAACACCATTTTCAAACGCCACTAATGAACGTGGAGGATCCAAACTCAAAACAAACCCGGTGTAATCCTCATGCGACACCCCCGTCTGCAGCGCTAGCTAATGTTAGCCACAGACAGACGAGTAACGTTACGCAAAGCTGACGAGTGTTAAGCTAAGCTAACAGTTGTAAATAGCAGGGAGTTGATCGACATGTGTAAATTCAGTAAGTCGCTACGTTAAAGTAGTTTTGCTTCTGACTCGCATTTAAAAACTGCGACACCCCTGCTCTCCTCCATCCGCGTAAACTTTCCAAAACACACGTGACGGCTGCGACACGCTGGGGCCACTTTAATAGTCTTCCGTGGGCAACCGCAACCAAAGAAAGGTTCTGAGACAAATGAAGTCAAATACCATCCAAACGCCCTTCTGCTCTGAAAGGCTATGCACAGACGTCTTTAGCATGTTAGCCACGTCGTCTTTTCAAGTTAAAACATGTCGCACACTCATTCTCCAACACTGTTTTTTTTTGTCTTCCCGGTTTCGTGTTTCGGCGGTTCGAAAAATAAGCTGTACCCGGAAGTGACGCAGAATCCTCGCATTCGAGAAGTGACCCATCATCCAAATAAGAGGTGGAAACCTGAGGCTGCTGCTGTAACACAGGTCTGGACCAGGAACTGATGTGTGTCACTGCTGCTAATGAACAACTCCAGGCTCTCCGTGCGGGTGGAGACACTCCTTAGTTCAGGCTGCAGACTCACACCTCATGAGGCTAGTTTGTTAGCTTAGCTTTGTGTTTGTGACGATCGTCCAATTTTTGCATGGGTGGTCTCATATCACACACACACACACACACACACACACACACACACACACACACAGGTTTCTGCCTGGTTGATGAACTGTATGATTTATACTGTATGTGTGAACATTCACTTGTGGAACAATGTTGGCAGCACTCTTTGCATCACTTTTTATCAGTTTACATTCCAAGAGTTACCAGATCAGAGGGATCATTAATAACTCTCTCTCTCTCTCTCTCTCTCTCTCTCTCTCTCTCTCTCTCTCTCTCTCTCTCTCTCTCTGTGTGTGTGTGTGTGTACATGATGGAGCAGTTGGACTGACCATGGACACTCTGTCCAGCCACAGCTCGTACCTCCTGCAGCAGCTCCAGGAGCAGAGGATTCAGGGGCTGCTGTGTGACTGCATGCTGGTGGTCAAAGGCGTCTGCTTCAAAGCCCACAAGAATGTCCTGGCCGCTTTCAGCTCCTACTTCAGGTGCGTTCATATGACCACGTTCGGACCTGGTGGTAACATCCATTCTGAGGGATCCAATCACAAGCGGTCATTGCAAAGCTCAGGTCTGAACACCAAACCTGTCCTCAATGAGTCCTGAGATCCGAGTTCAGACCACATTCAGAAGAGGTCACATTTCTTAGCTGTGTGAATACAGTGCATCCTGAGCCACATGTGAACCGTGACAGTTTCACAACCAATACAACAATTTTTGTACTCTTCTCAGTGTCCATCTGTTGATTTCTTTTTGGCCAAAATATCAACACTGACATTTTTTTCCCCAAATGGGTAATATCCTATTCCACAGCAGACCTCCATGCTGCACATTGATTCATTCAGCCACTCTCTGTACCTCTTGCTCTCACTGACACATCTATACTTTCAGATTGGGTTAAAAGTAAACAATTTGGTGTTCACAAACTGAAATGATATACATGATTGTTTGCATATAGAGTGGAAAGTTAGTCCCAAGTGGTCACAGGAAACACATTCAGGAATCATTTTAATTCCAGGTTTGAAGAGAATGGATGTTAACACCATGCCTGAACAGGCCCCATGTCAATAGATAGTTAATCTACTGGCACATTCGGGAATATGTGTGAATTCCTCCTTTTGCCGTCTGATCTTTTCAGGTCTTTGTTCCAAAATTCCCCCAGTCAGAAGAACGAGGTGTTCAACTTGGTTATCCAGGATGTCAGTGGCATCGGCCAAATATTGGACTACATGTACACCTCCCACCTCGACATCAATCAAGATAACGTACAAGCGCTCCTGGACATCGCTCAGTGCTTACAGGTTCCAAACGTGCAGAGCATGTGCAACACTTTCCTCAAACCTTGTCCCCCACCAGTAGAGATCCCATCATTTTCGCTCCCAGGCATGCTGAGCTCTGAGCACGACTGCCTCTTGGGAAGCAGTCTTCCTCACGATGTAGACCTCCACTGTCCCTCTGAAGGCCAGAGGCCTGGCCTCGGCAATGATGCGGACCACACCAAAAGGCTGCCAGTTGCTGGGCCTAATAACAGCTCTAACTATGACACAACTGGCACCACTCAGGCACCTATAGAAAAACAATTAGTCCACGGCTACAAGCTCCGTAACTTCTACAGTAAACAGTATTTCAAACAAAGCGCAATTCAGACAATTAATGCAGCGAATCAAGGCCCAGGTCCTTTGGTGGTGGTGGAGCAGCAGCAGCAGTGTCAGCTTGGGGTAAACCAGGGAGCCAATAATACACCTGTATGCTCAGGAAACACAGCTCAGCCTAATCCACCCAGCACATCTGTGGCAGTGGAGAAGAACCCTGTCTCCTCTCTGACACCCTCAGACAATTTAAATGCTCCCAACTGTGACTCAGCAGACTCCATGCTCAATAGGCCAGTGCGTCCCAAGAAGGCTGTGTACCTCAAAAAATACAACTACCTGAGGTCTCAGAAAGCTTTGGAGGAGATGTGTGCCGAGTCTGTCAGCGAGCCCGTCCTCAGCTGTCCCAAAGAGAATCCTCAAGAGGAGCCTGTTGTCCAGACTGAAACGCCAGCAGCTCCTGCTGAGGGTGTTACTGCAGGCGAGGAAAGGGTTTCTGAGACAGAGCCACGACAACCCAGTCCTCCACCTGTGACCCAAGAAGAGCAAAATCTGAAGCCGCAGCAGCAGACGGGTAACAAGCAGTACTGCTGTGATGTGTGTGGGAAGATTTTTAAGCACCCGAGCAACCTGGAACTGCACAAGCGCTCACATACTGGTATTTACAGTAAATATTCCAGAATAACACATGTCACTTACACCAATGATTTTGTAGGATTTATTGAATCAATATTTTTAGACGCAAAATGTATGTTTGTTGTTGCAGGTGAGAAGCCCTTCCAGTGTAATGTTTGTGGGAGATACTTCTCACAGGTACAGTTTGGTGTATTATTCAAATGTAGCAAAGTGATTCTTATGTGCCCACATTATATTGAGGTATTTAAGTAATTTTTTTACAGGCTGGGAATTTACAAACTCATTTGCGACGACACTCTGGAGAGAAACCGTACATCTGTGAGTTATGTGGAAAAAGGTGAAGAATCTCCTGCTGTCTATTGTATGTGTTATTGCATGTGATAGTTTTCAAAGCTTGGTAATATATTTCAGGTGTATGCAAAGCTACATATTTAAATACTGTTTAAGTTGCATATTGAGTTAATAACAAATGATTTTTGGTGACAACTTAATGAACTGAGTAAGTATTAGTGTCACATAAATATAATGTTTATCTGTGATGTTCAGCTTTACAGCATCAGGTGATGTCCACCGTCACAAAGTGGTCCACACAGGAGAGAAGCCACATCTCTGTGATATATGTGGACGAGGTATGTGACATCAGTCAACATAACACATCTCATTTTTTATAAGATAAACCATAAACTTGTATAAGCTTGTATAATTTACAGAAACACTGCGACACATTTAGTTTTCATGAGATTGGTGTTAAACCCTCTTCACTTTTTTATCCCTCAGGATTTAACAACTTGAGCAATCTCAAAGAGCACAAGAGGACTCATGCCACAGACAAGACGTTCACTTGTGACCAGTGTGGAAAATCTTTCAACACGCATCGAAAGCTTCTGAAGCACAAGACCCGCCACGCTGGAGAAAAACCACACAGCTGTGCCACATGTGGTAAGGAGCTTACTTTTCCGAGCAGTATGAGAAACTTCTGGTCAGCAGATATGAATGTCAGATATTTAATAATTTCCTGCAGTAGGGCCAATCATTTATTGATTCTTAATACATTGGATCGATTTTGAAAACCACTGATTTTACCTGCAGAGATTGAACAAAACTAGAGTCTAAAAATTAGAACTTTTCACAGATGTATTGGTGTTGATTTTACAGATTATACAATGCAGGATAGATGTGCATTAATGTTTACACTCAGCAAAAAAATATTTATTTTCCTAATTCAAGTTCTATATATTAGTTTGTATTTGTTTTTCCTTTTTTTATTTATAGTTATTTATTGTAAAGTTTATCGTTAAAATGTCAAATATCAAATCTCAGTTACATTTCTTTTTCATAAGGGATTGATAAAGAATTCTTAGGAATCGTTGCCAATTTCTTTTTTAGCCATGTACCAGCTGATATATTGGACTTTTTTTTTGCTCTCCAATGTTGGTATCAGCATCGGCCCCCAAAAATCTGTATTGTCGGTCTCAAGTAAGAATGATTGAGAGCATATTTTAAACTCACCTCTTAAGACTCACCACCTACTTTGTCTTAATAAGTATCTCTGTATGGACCATAGCTAACTTGAGCAAGGTGTTTTACACTTCATTTGTATCATCAACGCAGGGAAGTGCTTTGTTGGCTCAGGGGACCTGCAGCGTCACATACGTTCTCACACTGGGGAAAAACCCTATATCTGTAACGCCTGTGGCAAGAGTTTTACCCGCTCTGCCATGTTGAGGAGACACAGCAACATGCACTGCAAGGGTGCTCCAGCCAACAGCCCGGTCATAGACAACTCTGAGCAGGCGCCGCGTTGCTCAGACGGAGCAGCCTCGTTCTCTAAACCTGACGGCCATGATAAATCTCCTGCCTCTGCCAGCGAGCAGAATTTCTCCACCATGATGCCTCACGCAGACAAACCCTTACCACCTACTCCTTCACCACCACATATAGACACTCCTTCCCCCAGCATGCAACTCAGCCCAGCTTCCACCCCCACCCCCCTTCCAGAGCTCCGCTCCCTGGTACCGCATCAACTCCTCTCCTCCAACCACCAGGAGAAAAGTGCAGCCCTGGCGGCTCCAGACCACACAAAGCTGGGCAAACCCCACCTGTCTCAGGAAGTGGTGTACGGTCCGTATGTGGAGAACGGGAATATGTCGGTGGAGATGGGCAGAGGTCTGGCGGGAAGGCCCTACCTGCCTCCTGCGGACAATCACTGCAGTTCACTTACATCTTCTGGCAGGACCAGCAGTGGCTCCTACAGGTCCAGTGAGGGCCAGTTTATCTCCAGTGTGACACTGTGGGGCCTGGCAATGAAAACTCTGCAGAATGACAATGACATGGAGCAGTGAAACACTTGTACTCACAAGTATAGTATAGCCAGTTCAAAGGGTGCACAACTTTTTCTTGTTGCCACCTTGCTCTTGGTTGGTCTTGTATAAAAGTCTTCACTCGTTTTTCTTGAAATAATGGAATACATTTACTCACAGGGATGAAAATCACTGTTGTGATG